GAGCAATGAAATTCTTTTCAGAATGCGACAAAACTATCCTTCATAGGATTTGATTTCTTCACAGTGGGCAAAATCTAGAAAGGTAAAAAAATTCTGAAAGAAATAGCGAGAAAAACATTTCAAAATGATTTCCTAACTGACCTCGTCCGGTTTTGCCGAGTACACCAAACGATATCGATTCATCAATAAAGATTCGAACTTTGTATTTCCACTTCAACTCCAACAATTTCGGCAATGGACATAAATCACCCAAATTGTAGTACAGTCCCTCAACCACCATGAAACGACGTGTCTTTGCTGCTTTTTTCGGATCCTCAATTGAGAAATTTGCTACAGAAAATCCTTCCTCTGATCGGTGCATTCCTCTTTCATTGAGAACTCTTTTAAAATTTTCCCATCTCGTCAATATCTTGAAACATTTCCCCTCATCCAGTGAATGCATAAATGAACGCAGCAATTCAATCCAACTATTGGAACGCTCTCTAAATGACCAAAGGAGAGTTTGAATGTGGAACAATTTGCCACCATATCAGACCTATCCTATGTGTCACAACAAACAATCGTAACGTAACAATACAATCGACAAAGTAGATCAAAAATTTTGAGTTTTTAAAAATTTTCTGCTACAAAGCGATCAAATCAATAAAAATGAAGCAATGATAATAAAACGAGGAAAATGCTCATTAAGATAAGTTTGTAAGCATACTTTTAAGTCGAGTTTTGCCTGTTCCTCGAGAAGTCTTTCCAGATCATCCATATCATTGTGGTTGAACCATTCGATGCGACTTCTCGACGCTTGCACACCTTTTTGAATGGCGAAGTTCACACCTTAACAAAATTCACGTTCTCATATGATTCAAGCAACTGAATCTTTTCATAAACTATTCCACAGCCAACACCAACCAATACGTCCAATAGACAAATACTCTTTTAAGTCGAAACATCAACAAACGATTTTCAAAACTAAAATTCGCAGAAAATTTTCGCCTTAACCTGACTCATACCATAAAATGGGAGATATATAGCGAACGTTTCTGATAATCGTGACGGAAACAGAATGACTGATCAAAACAAAGATGTTTTTATGGAAAACGGTAGCCTTTGAACCTAATAAAAATGGGAAAATTGAAAAAATGCGAAAATGAAATGAAATGTTAAACGCTGTCAACAAACTTCTGAAGATTAAGATTTTCAAAGTAAAACAAGAATGGATACATAAAAATCCAAGTAACCTTTATCGACGAAGATCACATCTCCTCGTCTCGCATAAGCTGGTATAGCACTAGCGATTGTCGCGAACCCGTAACTGTACAGAACGGCCTCTTCGCATCCCAGAAACTCCGCCAATTCCTTCTCCAAGTCAAGATGAACATCAACGGTTCCGTAGAAACCTCGTGGACCACATGAGCCCACTCCATACTTCATAATCGTTTTCTTAGCTGTCGCCTTTAACATTGATTAGTTCAAATTATTTCAGATTTTACTCAATATTATTAATTGAAACTATTCATTAGATAATAATATTCGCTCAACATTTGAATGACTAATTCCATTTGGTTGATAAACGAATTACACTCGAATTTAAAAATTCCTAATTGTAAGAAGTAAGAACGCAAACCTCAATACGTTCATCTCCAACCAATCCCAAGAAATTTGTGGTAGCGACATTCAGATATTCCTTTCCATCGATTTGCACATACTTCGTCATTTTCCTTAAATACGACAATAAGTTTGTAATTATGTTGACAATTATAATAATCACATTAAGCATGACACAAATCTCATTAATAACAATCTTCAAGTCTAAAAACACTTCAATACCTTGCGATTACAATTCTTGTAAACGAATTGTAATCGAATTTCTACAAGAGATCGAGGGTAGATAAATGAATCTGCGAGATAAAAGAAACAGAAAGCACAGACTATACACAATCCGAAATTTTAATCTTAACTTACCCGTCCACATATTTCGGATTCAAGGCCGGATGATCCGCTGGAGTTTCCGGTACTAATGGCTCAGGTTCCCAACTCGCTATCAACGCCTCCTTTTCCTATAAATTCCCCCATTCACTCTTATCAAAATATTGCTTTTCAATGAAAAGTTGGAAAATATATCGAAACGTTAGAAATTTTCAATGCGCAGAACGTAATTGGAAAAAAAAGCATTTTCAAAAGAAATGTTTCATTTTTTAGAAATTTTCAAGAAACATTACTAACCTCTTCGGACAATTCTCTTTCTCGTGGTTTACGATTGAATTTCGAGAAGATTACATAGACAATCACACAGGCGAGCACAGTTTGAGTTAGCAAAGTTGAGTAGCTCTGAAAAAGAAACGCGACAATTAGAGAAATATCTCTTTTTTGGCTGGAAGTCTCTGAAAGTAAATTCTGAAAGTAAGGAATATCGAAAGGATTGCGATTATAATGATAATATTTCGATGACGATGATAACAACAACCAATGATAACAATTAAACTGATAACAACAACCAATGATAACAATTAAGCTGATAACAACAACCAATTGATGATATATCAAATCTCACCATCGCGCTCAAATCCGGAATGAAACTATCCAATGCTATCGGATAGCCACTTCCCTCATCTTTTACAACCGAGGCCATTTCGCTGAGCTCACTGAAATTCAACCAGATCAATAGATAAACTGATTGAACACATCATTGAAGACTTTCCACATCTTTTTGCGCACTTTCACCTTCTTAAATTCAAGCCCCGGTGTCCTAATTTCATGCTCCGCTTGACTTTAAACTCTTAACTCTAGTTCGATGCGAAGCAAAATTTTGCAGTTTTGCACGCGATATCAATAATTTTATCAGCTAATAACTGTCACACCAATTGTTTGCTATGTGATAGCAATGAGTCAACGTAATCAATTGATATACTGCCCTATATCTATTCCATCACTATTATTTGCAATCTGTCGTGCCCTTTAGTGAAGATTTTAATAGTTGAAAATTATTACGATTCATAAAAAAATTCAGTGCGTCACCTCTCAGTAAAACAATGCGATTTCGTGTTTTCATTTCCAATATATTCTTAGCTATATTCATACTCGATATAGAGCTAACATGATTCGAAATGCGTTTGATGGAATGAGGTAATAGTACGTATCACGTTAACGGACTGCCAATGTTTTTGATTGAGATCGAATGGAAGACGAAGTGAATTGAAATGGAAATTTATTCATTCAGTAATTTATTCACTCAGATTTCATTGCGACAAAATACATTAATTAAATCAATCAAAACAAAAAGCTCATTACAATAACAATAAATATGTGAACGATAACTTAGATATCTGCAACAGTAACAATAATAATGACAACAATCAAATTCGCTTCAAAGCGATATGATAATAATAACCGTAATAACAATTATAGCAATCAAACGAATAACAACAACCTCAATAATCACATTAAAATCACAAAGTGTCATCATTTTCCTTTACTGTTTGCTCCTTTTTTATCAATTCTCCTTCCTTCTTAACCCTGACTCTCACTTGCGATTGTTCTGCGTTTTCAGTTATATCCTGGAATTGAGTTTCTTCTAAATTACATCGAACTATAAGTTAAAATATAGAAACCACATGCTCTATGAATCGAAAACGAACGAATCGAATTGGAATGTCGATAATTTTACAATAAATTTCCATTGATGCCGTTGAAAAACTTCTTCAATTCTGTATCAAAAATCAAACACTCACCATTTACNGGTTGTTGGGAATTCTCAATTTTGCGTTTCATTCCAGGTTCCGTTTGCGGTTTTCCTTCATTCACATCGCTACTTTTCTTTTTCTTACGAATTTTCAATCTCTTCATACTATCTGCTATGGGATTTTCCAAAAGACCACTCTGTGCTATTGTCCGTTTTTTCAACTTTTTCTTTGAAACTGCAGAAATTCCCATACTATCTGGCAAGCTGCTGCCTCCTTGTTCTGCTGTGAAGTTTTCCAGTTCTCGTTTCCTTTTCTTCTCTAGCAATTTCAGCTTTTTTCTTTCCGATTTCTGCATGCATTTCGGATTTTCCAATGGCGTCAGATTTTTATTCTTTAATTTTTTCTTCTTCTTCAGTTTTTCTTGGCTGACCGTCTGCATCTCCTCTTTGAATGACCCACTCGTTTGCGGTTGTTCATCAGTCAGGAGGTCACCTTCTTGCTCTGAATCCACAATGTCCGGAATGGTTTTATTGCGATTTGCTTCGTTCACTTCCTGATCGTCATCCGTTAAATCGTCAACTGGTTCCGGTTCTCGTTCGATCATCCAATTACTCTGCTCTTCATCTTCCTCAATTTCATCCAAATCTCTCGATTCTTCCAGGCATTCACCTCTTTCCACGGGTACGCTCTCGAAATCAACATTCGCATGCACTGCTGACTGCCTGAAAACATTATCAATAATAACACTGCTACGAGGAATAACAAAAATAATAAAACTCTTATGATCAGCGATAATGACAGTTCATAAAATCTGACAGCCCGCACACTTCCAACGTTTTTCCAATCACAACAACCCAGAATCAATGCGACTCTATGACCTCTATGAATGTGAAAAGCAGCAGCGTTACAATAAGATTCATGCTTCTTTCAAACCTTACAGTCAAATCCCACAAATTCATTTCAAACTTTCACTTCATTTCCCAAAATCATTAAGCAAACACCAATATTCATCCTTCACAAATGCAACACAAACACCTTTTTTGTTCTCTCCAAATTAATTCTCTCCATCAAACATGAACCAAAACAAACCTCTGCTCCAATTTCACATTCGAAACGAATGCCCTAGCCAGATCTCGCTCATTCATTCGCAATAAATCTGTTATCATCTTTCGCTGATTCCATATTCCTTCGTTAATTCCCATCGACTGCCACCGTTTCTCACTGATTTTCAACAAATCTTCAACTGTTTGCAGTGAGCGCAATGTTGCTGGGAATCTGAAACTTGCGATAATCAGCAAATGAACCTGTATTCGATCAAGAAGATATCACATGAGGGAAGTTCTCCCCCAAAAATTACAAAATTCCGACATTCAAATCCAAATAGAACAATTTCCAAATCTGATTAGCTAAAATCCACTGAGTCGTACACCACTTCCATACTTACTCAACGATGTTTTGAGGCCAGAAATTCTTACGGTTCCCCAGAAACAAAATCTGGATCGCAATTTAATTCTCATCCACATGCAATATTTGCAGAAATGAAGGCATCATTTATTTCATNATTTCATCAAATGATAAAATTACCTGTCATCCAAATTCAGCATACTTTTCACTGATTCATAACCATCCAGAAGAATTTTGACTTGTCTCAATGACCCATTATAGGCGTCCGAAAGCACTGACAACAGCAAAATATTGTGTCCCGTCTAAAATTTACAAACTACACTCCCTCATAATCAAACAATCATCCGAAGCATATCACCAATATATTCCCGATTCATTGAGAAAAAGTGACACAATCACGAGATACGATTAAAATTTTCCAATTACCCCATAAATTCTATCTTCATGAAAGGAATTTTCAACCTATCACTAATTGCAATTCTGCTAGAATTTCTCATCATCCATTCAAAATAATTCTCACCAAATGTCCCAAATCGATATGTGCCAAGCAATGTGCTGCTGCAGCAATTGCCAATCGACACGTACGGCATAAACGTTCAGTTGTTGCGATCAGTAAGGCAGCCACATAGTTGAGTGTCTGATCACTTATGTTATATTGAAAATTCGATGAGATCAATTTCTGAAAGTCGAAAAAATTTCACTGATTTTACTCAATTTCGTTGGAATCCGGAAAGTTCTGAGCAGTTGCCACTTACTCAGAATAGGAAAGAATAGATTTTCAATGGACGAAGAAACCTATCATATCATTCACATATAATTTTGGGATAATACAAAAAGGAACGAAATGGAAAGAAAGGAAAGGGATGGAATATGAGTGGGCATTAAGAAATATGAATGAAAAATTCTGAACATTCAACGAATATCGTTAGAAATGAGCGAAGATAGAATGGGAAAAAAATGAAAATTGAAAAGGAAAAGAAATCCGCTCACCGCTGAGATCGATTGCAATAGTTCAGCGATATTGTACTGCTGCGCTCGAGTGAGCTCTTTGAAAGTGTGACGAGTGGATTTCCAAAATTTCATATGTCTGAAAGATTGCGACGGAAAATGCATCGAAAAAAAAAACAAAAATACAATGATAACTACGATGAAATTTCAATAAACAATGATATAACTGAAAAATTCAATGACTCTATAAATTTAGAATTATAATTTTTCACATTCTATAGAAAACGATACTGCATTAAACGACAACTTTCACACGACAATCAATTTTCATATGTGATACTTAACATTTTCTCGCCGAATATGTGAAACTTTCCTCTAATTCAGAAGTTCGAGTAAAATATGAATTCATGAAAAATATGAATTCCACCCAGTCGTTCTGAAGAAATATCAACAGAAAATTAAAAAGGAATATTTCTAAGACATGAAAGGAATATTTCCATTTTTCATTCCGCCTTTTTTATTTGTTACTATTTTACTTTTTTCAATCCAACACGATGTTGGAGCGCCATGCCTTTCATCTTGTATTATTGCTTGTATATATTTTTAACCTGGCAATAAACCTTCTATCTATCTAAGGAACAATTCAGAATAATTGTTTTCTTTCATACTATACTATTAAGAGAATAAAACGATTTGGAAGATTTCCACTCCAAATTGAACAGTCTTCATCGAAATCTGACGCTATCCAATGATCACAAGCCTTGTCAAGGATATACTTAATGAATGATTCAATGTCGTGGATGTTCCGAGATCCGAATATTCAGAATCTAACCTATATGGAGCGCTCATCTTGTAGATAAGACCATCAGCTATTGCCAAAGTCCGATTCAGCTGCATGGGACGTAATTTATCGAACAAATTTTCGAACACCATCTGCAAATTTTAACATATTGCTTGATTCTGAATCATATCATTGGAAGGAAACTTAGTATGTAAGCAAAAACCCAGAGTTATGAAAATTGTAAAAATGGTAAGACTTAGACTTGAAGAACTGAAAATATGATTATTATTTGACTTTTCTTTCGTTTTTGATATCTCCAATGAATCGGCACTAATTGTGCTTTGGAAAACAATTGGCTACGGATTTTTTTTAAGATCAGCACTCCACAAACTTGTTGCAGGTTCATGATGAAGCATTGAAATTTCCATAATAAAAGTCATTCTCTCATTAAAAAAGAAAACGGAAAGACTTTCCCATGCTCATTTCATTGATACCGTACATGTTTCAATATTCTCTACTGCATTGAAATTTCATTTGAAACGTTACTACCTCAGTTCTAAGTCGAGAAATCTAAATTTTATAGCCGGAAATGAATACAACTGATCGTGTATGGAACCCTTATGTGTCTGATGACCCACGATCTTGAAAGATCGTAGCTCAACACTATTAAAAAATCCGATTTCCTCAACAAAACGAAAAACGCAATCATTAAAGCCAATTGATATTTACCTTTGTTTTCAGTGGATCGTCTGTATTCGTGGCTGGCCTTGTTGCAAACCATTTTGGAGGCTTGTCACTTAGAAGCGAATCAATGAA